CAGGTGTGTGGTATGATGCAGGCACATGGTATGGGGCAGGGGTGTGGTGTGGGGCAGATGTGCAGTGTGGGACAGATGTGCAGTGTAAGGCAGAGGTGTGGTATGGGGTAGAATGTTTTTGGATAGAATAATTTCACAAATGAGCACGTGAAGCAAGATTCTAGAACAGGAATCTGCAGCTTTGTTTTGGTAAAGGACCAAAGAGTAGATAGTTTAGATCTGTGGGCCCCACTGTCTCCATTGTGCCTGCTCACCTTAGCCAGGGTAGCTCAGAAGTAGCTATACGTAGCACACAAACTTCCCAGCAGGGCTATGTTCCAGCAGAGTGTAGCACACCCTTTTCAGCTGTCTAGACACCACTGTTGAAGAAATCTTCCTTTCCCTATTATATTCAGTATCCTGGCATTCTTGTGAAAATCGTTTGACTGCAGATCTTAGACTCTGAATTCTATACTGTTGCTCTGTTTGTCAGTCTGTTGTCAGTGCCATACAGTTTTGTTACTGTAGCTTTGTGATTATTTTTTAAACAAAAAAATGTGAGTTATCTAACTTTTTTCTTCTTTCTTTCTTTCTTTCTTTCTTTCTTTCTTTCTTTCTTTCTTTCTTTCTTTCTTTCTTTCTCTCTCTCTCTCTCTCTCTCTCTCTCTCTCTCTCTTTCTTTCTTTCTTTCTTAAACTCTTCAGGGTCTCTTTCAATTCTATATGAATTGGAAATCATATTTATCATTTCCATTTTTTTTAAGATTGCAAGTTTTGTGTCTATGCACATGTGTGCACATATATGTATGTTTGTGGAGGTGAGAGGTTGATGTTCAGTGTCTTCCTCAGTTGCTCTCCATCATATTTTTGGAGACAGTCTCTCATTGAACCTGGAACCCACTGATTTGCTTAGACTACTTCACTGGCAAGCCCTGGGATCTTTCTGTTCCTCCCTCCCCTGCTCTGGGATTTTAGGTGCATGCTGCTGTCCTTTGGGTTTTTACATGCGTGCTGGGGATTTGAACTCAGGTCCTCAAGCTTTCATGGCACCCACTTTAATGGATGAGCCATTTTCTCAGCCCCACCATTGGAACTTTAGTAGGGCCTTTGTTGAATCACTTTGGAGAATATTGTCATTAACAGTATTAATTCTCCCGAGTGAAGAACCTGAGATTTCTCTCCATTTAATCAGGTTTTGTTTGTTTGAGACAGAATCTCACTCTGTAGCCCAGGTGTTGCCTCTACCTCACGAGAATCCTCTTGCCCTGACCTCCCAAGTGTTACAGACGCAGGCCTCTGCTCCTAGCTGTTAACCAGGCCCGTGATTCCTTTCAGTACTGCTTTCTGGTTTAGCATGTGTTTTATGTTTTTGGTTTAGTTTATTCCAGATAATTTATTCTTTTTAGGTGGACATGCTTTTATATAATATGCTATTATAAGTGGACATGCTTTCTTAATTTTCTTCTCAGATCATTCATCACTGTCATCAAGAAATCTAGAAAGCTAACATTTGTGTGTGTGTACACTTGTACCTGTCATCAGCAAAATGAAGTCGGCCCTATACCTCATGTCATTCCATATATAAAGATCAACTCAAAGAGGATTAGAAAAATCTAACGTAACATTTAAAACTATACAATTAGGAGTAGACACCATGGGTTAAATTCTCATGAAGATGACTGTTGTGTTAGTCGATGTGTTCATGACATCTCTTCTTGTGTAACAAAACACTTGATGAAGAGGAGGAAGGGCCTCCTTGGTCTCAGGGTTTGCAGGGTTAGTCTGTCACAGAGGGTGAGATGTGGCAGCCAGAGGAGGGCTCAGCTGGCTCCCCTCTGTCCTTTTTTCTTTTTTTTTTTTTTTCCAAGACAGGGTTTTTCTGTGTAACTTTGCGCCTTTCCTGGAACTTACTCTGTAGCCCAGGCTGGCCTCAAACTCATGCAGATCGGCCTGGCTCTGCCTTCCGAGTGCTGGAATTAAAATCGTGTGCCACCACTGCCCGGCTCCCCTGGGTCCTTTTCATTTACTCTAGGATCCCAGCCCATGGCATAATGCCACCTCTATTCAGGGTGGGTCTTCCTTCTCTCTGGAAACTCATTCGTCACAGACTTGCTCAGAGCTGTGTCTCCTGAGTGGTTCTGAATCTAGTCAAGTTGCAATCATGGTGAATGGTGACCGTGAATTTTTAGTTACTGTAACAAATACTTAAACCATCACCTTAAGACGAGGGAAGGTTTACCTTGGTTCATAAAGACAGAGGTTTCAACCTATGTATCTGGTAGACCCATTGCTCTTAGACACACCCTTTTGCAGGCGCATCCTTGGTGGCCTGAAGCTTTCCCAGGAGGCACCAGCTCATCAAATTCCTCCTGCCTCTCAATAGCGCTGCAGTGAGGACTGTCCATTTAGCATATGGGCCTTTGGAGTGCACTGTAGATCAAACACACTAGTGATTTCTTAGACTTTTTTTTTTTTGCCTAAAGCAAGGTCACCAAAGCAAAAGTTGAGGGACTGCCTGTTAACTTAAAACCTCTGTGTAGCAAAAGCCATTATCCAGGATGTGCAAAGAAAACCTACAGAATGGAAGAGAATATTTGCAACCATATATTTGATAAGGCTTTGAGAATCAGAATATATAAAGAGCCCGTACAACTCAACTACAGGAAGCTAGACGCTTCGATTATAACAGAATGTAGATTTGAATAGACATTTTCCCAAAGAATATAGCCAAATGGCCAAGGAGCACCTGAGAAAATGTTCAGTTTCATTGATCCTTAAGGAAATGCAAATCAAAGCTGTAATGAGATAACCACTTTATGCTCACCAGGATGATCGCCTATGAAGAGTAAAAACTAAAATTAAAAATAACCAGCAAAATAGCAGGTGTTAGGAAGGGCGTATGGAAGCGGGGATTTTATTCTTTTGCTGGTGGGAAGGTAAAATAGTGCAGCCACTGTGAAAAGTGGCTTGCTAACTCCTCCAAAAGCTAAACATGTAATTACCATATGGGCCGGCGTCTCCATTCCTTATTCTCGAAGAGAAGCAAAACCAGCTGTCCATACAGAAACTTATACAAGCATTTAAAGTGGCATTCTCCAGAACAGCCAAAGCATGGGGACATCCCAAATATCATTCAACAGATGAATGCATAAGCAGTTGCAGTCGATCCATAGACTAGAATATTATTTAGGTATAAAAAGGGATAAAAGCACTGATAGAAACTAGAACTTGGGTGAACCTCAAAACTACATGAGGGAAATCACAAAGGAACACATACTGTGCGAGTCCTTTGCGTGAAACATACCAAGTAAGTAAATTCTAGAGAGCGAGAGTGAGCAGAATAGTGGTTGCCAGGGATAGCGGGAGGAGGGGCTGGGGAGCGGTCTTTTAAAGGGCATGGATGTTCTTCCAAGATGGTGAAAAGCTGCAGAGAGGCGGTGGTCACACAACACAGCACACACGCAGCATTGCTGAGTTCGACCTGAACGTGTAAACATGCATCAAGGGATCGCAAAAATTAAAAAAATGTTTCAGTTAAAACTCAATCAGGGCCCATGATGACAGGACTCAGCAATGCAAAAGCTGCCAACCTGACGACCTGAATTCCATCCTGGGACTCACATGGCTGCGGAGAGCTGACTGCTGCAAGGTGCCCTCTGCCCTTGCCGTGTTGTGGCACTCCACTCCCCTATGCATGTACACACGCCAATCAATCAGCCGACTAACCCATCGACCAATCAGACGCGAAGGCCAGGTAGATGACTACTGGGGAGGTGCTTGCTATGAAAGCGTGAGGACCCGAGTCCAGCACCCAAATCAAAGGTGGGTGTAGTGATGTTCTCCTGTAATCCCTGCTCTGAGAAGGTGGAGACAGGCTGGTCCCTGGAGCTCACTGACCAGCCATTCTACCTGAATCCGTGACCTCCGTGTTCAATGAAAGACTTAGTCTCAAAAACTAGGGTGGAGAGCAATTGAGGAAAATACCTGGTCTCACTTTCTGGCCTCTACATGTGTGCACACATACATATGCATGCACATGTGTGCACCTACCCACATGGATACTTATAGGAGTGTGTCCCTCCTTCCTCCCCTCCCTCCCCTCCCTCTCCCCTCATCCCCCCACATGATCAAACAGATGACACAATTTGGCCTGTGGCCCACTGTTTTGACTCCTTCTACAACAGCGCTTTTCAGGCTGTAAGCCAGGACCCATTAGCGTTGTGGAAATCAGTTTAGGGTCACAACCAGCAATTTTAGAAAAGTGGGGGAAAGTAGAATAGAGCACATGAGTGGAGTTCTTAGATGGTGAGGTGTTACTACTCCCAAAGTGTTTGTTGGGATTTTATCTCTACCTACAGGAGTGGGCATCCTGGTTAATGCTGTGACACACATGGCCGTGTTTGGACCATAGCCCTTGCAAACTTGAAAGGCACTTTTATAGTCCCATGGCCTCTTTTATGGGGTTGGGGGTATTAAACTCAGTGCCGATGCCTAAAGACAAGCTGCATTCCCCACTTAGTTTTTACGGGAGCAGCTCGGACTTCTATTTGCCTTCCATCTTTGCCACAGTGAGGCCTGCAGGACATCCTCCTCTGGCAGTCCCAGAGGACTCCTTCCCAGTGTCCAGCCTGTCCTTAGGTGTCCCATGGACACTCAGTAGCCACCATGACAAGTTCACTTGGCATCTGCTTGGGGAGACAGAAGAGCCTCTTCTACTGTCTGCAGGAGTCTTGTGGTCTGTCCTATAATCCAGAAAGCACCAAGGACTCTAGGCCGTGTCCAATACATGGCCCACAGGCTACATGCAGCCCATGATTGGAATGAATTCAGCCAGACACAAAATCATGAACTCACTGAAAACATTAGGAGATTTTTTTTTGTCTATTTTTTTAATAACTTGATTGTGTGGTTGGTTCTAGAACATGAACCTTGCAAATGATAATGCCATGTTATAATGTCATACAAAATAAACATATGTCTGTATGCATGTATGCTCTTGTAAGCTGCAGGACACCCCTGTTCTAGCCTGACCTTGAGTTCTGCAGAGACTTCTTAGTACTATGTTTGTACTACTCCTCTGGCTGCCCTGTGTAGAGGCAATGTCCTCTCTGGCCAACATTTGGTCCCGGTCCTCATCTCCTGGCTGAATGGACCTCAGCATTGTGTCCATCACTCTCATTCCCGGCTCCCACACTTCTTTCATAATGGTGGGTTAGTTGGCTTGCATGGCCTCGAAGGGGAATATATACCTTGTGGGTGTAGATGTACAGGGTGGGAACTACTTCTCAAGCTTGCTCTTGGTCCATCCCTTTCTTCAGGCCTGGAGGCCTCACATGGAGCTTGTGGAGAAGCCACAGAGGGGAACATGCTGGACAGTTACACTGTTGTGTGGTGTGTGGTGGTGTGCTCTCAGGCTTCAGACTGTAGGGCATCCCCAGAAGGTGTGCAGTTGATTCCCATCCCATAGACTGCTCAACCTGCTGTGGCCTTTGTCACATGGGACATATAAGTTACCCGTTCCATGCAGTGCCAGAGACCCTGGGAAGTTGTGGCTATGGGTGGCCAGTAGCCTCTGCTTCCTCGTTCCCTGCCAGCCCTGTCAGTGTCCTGATTTCAGGTCTCTGTTCTGTAAGCACATGCTCCTGCGTGGCCTTGTCTCCTCTCAGGGCTGGTCTTTGTTGCTGTTACCATGTTGTACCAGATGTTGACATCTGCATCACAGTGCTGTCATCTGACAATGACAGGCCTCATGAAAGGAATCCACATCTACTGATCTGCTCTGACTCTGGCAAAGATCCTAGAGCACCGGAGTGTTCCTGGGACAGCCCTGCGGAGCCTTTTGTCATTACCAGCTCCGAGCCACCAGGCTGTGATGAGCTTCCGGGATTGGGCTCTCAGAGGGGTCCGGCAGAGTGAGGTCCACTTGAAGAGACCTGGAGACAGGGGAGTGGGAGGGGAAGAGATGAGACCCCAAGGAATGATGGGAGGGCTCTTGGTACAAGAGTTAGACTTCATGCCCTGGGAGCCAGAGCCACAAGGGAGGTCTGAATCTGTCGTGTTTCTACCTGAGACCCACTGCTCTGGACAGCAGCCTGCAAGCACAGCCATTCTGCTGGAGAGGAAGCTGGAGCAACTCCCTGCCAGTGTGGCTGATTCTGCTGGGATCTTTGTCCCCAGGGAGAGCCATATCTTTTCCTTTCTCCACGGAACCACATGGCTCTGTCACTGAAAGCCCACTTTGGTGGCAGGCTGGCAAATGTGAGGGTGGCCCAGAGGCTTGGCTTCCAGTGCAAAACCAATTTAGTTGTCTATGACAGTGTATCAGTGCATCCCACAATGCCAAGGCTTGACATACAGTTGCCAGTGCTTTGGTTTACACATCTTCAGTTTGTCGAGGTTCGGTGGGGAAGGTTCTAGGCACATCTGTGCAGCATCCACAGAACACCAGTTGGGATGGCTGGAAGAGCTCCTCCAAGACAGCTCACTCATATAGCTGGCAGAAGTGCTGGCTATGAGCTGGAGTCTCTGCTGGAACCATAGCCTGAGACCCTCTCCTTGTGGCTCCATGGCAGTTTCCAGGCTAGCTGGAGAAACTAAAATGACCCATCAGGATGCTGCCTCATCTCTTAGGACTAAGCTAGCAGAAGTCATATAGGATATTCTAGATCAGAGATGTCCAGTCTTGTTTTTTTTAATAATTAAATGATTTTATTATTTATATCCATGTGTATATGTGTGTGCGTATTAGTGTGTACAGGTACATGTGTGTCATGTATGTGGAAGTCAGAGGACAACCTCAAGTGTCATCCTCAGGGAAACCATCAGTCTCCTTTCAGGCAGGGTCTCATTGGCCTGGAGTTCACCAATTAGGCTAGGCTGGCTGGTTAGTGAGCCCCAGAGACCTGCCTGTCTCCACCTCCCTAGTGTTGGGATTATAAGCATATGGCACACGTCCAACATTTTTATATGGCTCTGGGAATTCGAATTTTATATGGCTCAGGACCTCATCTGTTGTAGAATATCAAGATGTGTTACATTTGTTTCTACTGTGGAACATTTGTTTTAATGGTGCAAAGATGTGTTGCATTCTTTTATGTTGCATTTGTTTAACTCTGTGAAACTGTGTTATTTTGCTTGTCTAAAACACCTGATGGTCTAATAAAGAGCTGAATGGCCAGTAGCAAGGCAGGAGAAAGGATAGGTGGGGCTGGCAGGCAGAGAGAATAAATAGAAGGAGAAATCTGAGAGGAGAAAAGAAAGAGCAAGAGAACAAGAAGAGGAGGATGCCAGGGGTCGCCACCCAGCCACCTAGCTAGCCACAGAGTAAGAGTGAAACAGAAATAAGAGAAAGGCAGAAGCCCAGAGGTAAAAAGGTAGATGGGATTATTTAAGTTAAGAACAGCTGGCAGGAAACAAGCCAGGGCTAAGGCCGGGCATTCATAAGTAATAAGACTCCATGTGTGATTTATTTGGGAGCTGGGTGGTGGGCCCCCCCAAAAAAGAGTAAAGAGCAAAAGCAACTACACTCATGTTTGTGAGGCAAGCCCTTTATTGATTGAGCTAGCTCCCTGGCCCAATACATCCAACCTTTTGACAGTACAGTACCACATTGTCATCTACAAAGTTCATGGTTGAGTATTACTCAATCAGGTAACAAAATAAATCACATAATGTTCTAAGTTCGTTCAAGATTTTGTATTTGGCAACATTTGTAGCTCCATCATAGCTTTAAAAGGAGGAGCCGCAGACTGGTGCGGACCCAAGTCACACCATACAAAGACCACAAGGGCTGAGAGACGGCATTGTGGGTATTTGGAGAGACGACAGCCAATGCAGAAGAATGACTATATTTGGATGTCACCATGCACTGACGCCTAAGGATTTTTTTTTTATTTTTTGGGTGGACATAGGTACACTGATGAGGAATGGATTTTCCTGCAGGCACAGGGAAGGATCGAGCCCTGGGTTTCTTGACTTGCTCTGTGTGTGGGGAGGAGGTCAAGCTTTTGATTTGCTATTTTGACATATGTAAGGGAGCCTTTGTAGGAGGAGCCCTAGATGGAGTTGTTTGCTGAATGTCCTTTTCCCACCATTAGCTCAGCTCCAGCACACATCCCAATGATGGAGAAGCTTCATAGGGAGGGGTGGGGGTAGAAAGATCTGCCCTGGGCAGCCTCTCAGAGACAGGGCATACACAGGGCTTTGGAGTGTTGGCCTGGCAGCTGGTAGGCTGGCTAGTGTAGATTTTTTTTCCAGTTTGAATCTCCAGGGCCACATCAGGAAGATGCCCTCAGCCTGGTGCTCCTGAAGGGAACGCGAGCGGGCTCTGGAGGCAGCTGCCTGTTGTGGTAATGAAGCTGCCCTGCTAAAGGTTAATTGTCCTCAGCTGTGTGGGGCTGGAAGCGGTTGCTGAGATCCGCTGTCCTCAGATTCTGTGGCAGCCTTTCCGTTGCTGAGACCTGCTGCTGCTGCTTCAGGGAGGGAGGAGGCGAGACTGCTGTCCACAGATGTTCCTCTCCCAGCTGCCACCCCACTGTGCATCTGTGGGACTCCTGCTAGCCAGCTGGCTCCTTGCTAATGGCTGAGAGTCTGAGAAAACCCTACAAGTTGTCACCTTCACCTGTTCTGGCTTGTGGACATTTAAAAAACCTGGAGACAGTCTGTGTGGACAGGAGGTAGAGAAATAGTCCTCAGGAGAGCCCACCAGCTTGGGAATTCAGTCCCTCCTAAGCCACCATTTTCAAAGGGAGGTCCAAGGATCACCTATTCAGCATCTTACCTAGCCGACTTATTAAACATGAAGACTTCAGGCCGACTGAGTCGCCAATGTCGGAGTCAGTTCTCTGCATTTTAACAAGCACCCTGGAGTTTGAAGCTCAGTTCTCATCCCGTGGACCACGCTTCCCTTTGCCTCTCTGGAGTATCTCCTTTGTGGCACTGGATGCATTTGATGCTGGAGATGTGAGGATAAATAAGACAAGGTATCAGCCGGGGAGGAGATAATTGTTTCCTGAATTTCTTGTACTAAACTGTATTTTCTGGGGGAAAAAGTGTGTGTGGGATGGGGCAGGGGGTTTGATTCACTCCCACCAACATTTCTCACCTTCCAGGATTTGGGACTTTCTTTCTAAGGGATTCTCTGCAAATGTTGTCCAGCTTATAGGAAATGAAAGGTCATTTGGACAGGAGCCCTGGGAATGTGATGCCATCTGGTTTGGCAGTGTGGGATTTTAATAACAACCACACTTAAGTTTTACACGACCCCCCTGACTAGCCCTGCAAATAGCCAGATCTAGAAGTATCTGTTGCATCCACAGAATGCTTTGGACAGCTGTTTACCCATTTCCCAAAGCCCCTTCCTTTGCAGTTTTCTGATTATGCAAAGCAAGCCTCAGTTTTCCTCTACAAAGCAGAGTGGGGGCTGGGGATGTGGCTCCCTTGTTAAAGAGCTTGCTGGGCAAGTGTGAAGACTTGGGAGTTCCTCTCCCAGAGCTCATGCCATGCGGGGCGTGTAGTGTACCCCGCGATCCCAGAGCTGGGGAGGTGGAGACAGGAGGATGGATTTCTTGGGATCACTGGCAAACATGGCCTGATGGGTGAGCTTCAGGCCAGCGAGAGAGCCTGTCGCCAAAAAATAAGGTAGACTGTGCCTGAGGAACCGGCAGGGTAGAATAAAGCAACTGACGTCAGAGTCCCATCTCAGCTGTCTGTGAGACTCCCCGTGTGTGCCTTTCAGACACTGTCTTCCCGTCTGTCCCGTTAGTTGTCCTGCCGTGTGCCTCATGAAATCTGACCGCTAAGGCCGATGAGGGTCTTTGGGAAGGGAGAGAGAGCAACCCCAGACACGCAAAGCATTATGGTTAATAACAAGAACTCGATACCCTGGCTTCTGTGTCTTAGCTGAAAGGAGATCAGGAAGAAGCCAAATGGAGTGATTGACCCCATGTCACATCTTAAATCCCGACTCTACAAATACAGGTTTCCAGTATTCCAATTAATCCTTATAAAAAGTTGGAGAACTAGGTAAGACAGATGTTATCAGTACAGTGAGGAGATTGGACTAGATAGTTTCTGGGGCCTCTTCCAGCTCTCAAATTGAATGATTCCGTTGTTTGCCAGACGAGAAAACTGAATTGGACTGAACTGAAGCGCCGGGAGGTAGGAAGAGGTGGCGGAGACCACATGATCTCTAGCGACCAGAGTCGAGTGTATGTGGGTCCCCTGGCCTCACTTCACCTGCTTTGCTTGTCATAGATGCCGTCGCCTCCCTATGGGTCTTCACTAGCTAAGTCTGACCTGTGTGGACAGATGGGTCCTTTTTCCTCCTGAGCACTGTCACTCACAATTCAGTCTTTCTGTATAGATTTGGATATGCTGTGTGCAAGTGCAAAGATCTTGAGCTCTCTCTCCGTGGAGGACAGGTCACCACCGGATTGTCCTCAGGGCGTGGAAGCTTTACCCATGGAGCCTTGCCCACTCATGCCTGGCTCCTCCCTCTGCTTTGCCACCGGGGAAGGCAGAGTGGGTGGTTCTTCCCCTGCTGCTATAGGCACTAATGATTTGTATTATTTAAAATTGGTTTGTGTGCCGGGAGCCACTTCCACAGGCCCAGAGTAAGGAAGTGGATAACTACATTAACTGGGAGCCGTCACCAATAGCGTGCCCTGGAGGGCGGTGCAGAATGCCAGCGCTCAGCATCTCTGCCTTACCTAGCCTCCCGCTTTGAGGTGGGCAGGGCCCGCGAAGGGCCTTGCTCTCCATTCTGGGTCACACTGAGCGGCGGGAGGTCATCAAGCATCGAGGCAGACTCTGATTAATACTGCACCGGGGCTTGGCGTGTCGGGAAAGCATGCGTTCCCCGAGAGATATTAAATATTAATAGCAGGAGTAGAGGCAGAGGGTAAACAAAGTGAGTTGTCAAATGTTCATTTTTAAGGGCAACTGTGTTCCCTCTATGTCCGGGAGTAGAATGAGTCCTTCAAGAGAGGATCAGAGGCTACGCGCTCCTTGGGTCCTATTTTACTGGGCTCCACAAGTCAGGGCCAGACTCCCGGCAGTCCAGGAAGGAGGAGCATCTGGGCCTGTACCTGATGTCATGGCTGTGGGTCTCTTTGGAAGCACTGCTGAGTCCTAGCCTGGCTGTCCTTTCTAGGGGCATCTCTCAGCATAGCCTAAGTTCAGAAGGAGAGATCGTCGTCGGGTGAGAAAGGGCCCTCCACAGCCGTCCCTTCTGATCTCTTACCACCTGGCAAGGTCATATCAGATGAGTAGATCCTCAGAGGTTTTCAGAAAGGACTTTATCACCTGTCCATCTCAGGGCCAGCCACTGAGGGAGGCGTGGCTGCCGCACCTGGGAGCTGTAGAAGGCCTAGGTTGGGGAAAGGGCTAGTTCCCCAGGATTCCGAGGGCAGGACCGAAGAACTGCCGCACTGGTCTGCGGGCCAGAGGCGGGGGGAGGTGTGTTCTGTAAGGGACGATGTGCTCGGGAGCTCCCGAGTACAACTCATCCACAACTGAGCTCTACTTGTCGCCTTCCTGTGTCACGTGATGCACCGTGCTGTGCACTTTGCAAGTTCCTCAGGATGCAAGCATGGGCGAAGCAAGCAGACAATGCTGCCTCCGCCCAGCCTAGGTTCAGCAGGGAAACGGAACAGATGGGTCGTGAGAAGCAACTGTAAAGCGGGGTAAGCACTCCAGTACTGAGAGGGTAAGGTGCCGAGGGAGACTGTTCTGTCGGGGTAGTTGAAGCCGTCTCGGAAGAAACGGGGTGGTGGCAGAGGGCCAGTGTCTAGCCATGTGGGATGCTTAGGAGAAAATGGGCAGTGAGGAGGGCAAAAGGGCAGGGAATGAGAGCAGAGACAGGATTTTTTTTGGGGGGGGGGGTTTGAGACAGGGTTTCTCTGTGTAGCTTTGCGCCTTTCCTGGGACTCACTTGGTAGCCCAGGCTGGCCTCAAACTTACAGCAATCCGCCTGACTCTGCCTCCCGAGTGCTGGGATTAAAGGCGTGCGCCACCACTGCCTGGCCAGAGGCAGGATTTAAGAGAGACCAGGGACCAGGCCTGCCAGCCCCGTGAAGTGGAGTTTCTGAGCCAGGTAGCATGAGTGTGAGCCAACCGCACCCAGGCAGGAGAACCTCCTCCAAGCGGTGCTCTGGGCCATGCAGGTACAGAATCACGGAGACCAAGGACCACCGTTTTCATTCCTACCTTCACCCTCTGCTCATGCTTTGCCAGAGTCAGGGAGCTCACAGCAGCCTGGTGGTCCGTCAGTTTTCCTTCTGCTGGCCTGACTCGGCCTTCTTGAGTCTGCAGAGTAACTTCTTTACTCTTCCAGACACCCCCGTTATGCACTGAAAGCCAGCAGCCAAGGGATGCTGCGTGTTCTCTTCCTAAGGCTGGGCAGCTCCAACTTCTTCCTTCGCTTCTCATATGCCTTGATTTCTCTGTGGTACCAGCTCAGATCCCTTTTGGGCTTGTTTGTTTGTCATAGTTCCTTCTGCAAGGGGTGACATCTAGTGCTCTGTGTTAGTCTAACTAGGGCTGAAATTAGAGAAACAGTTCCCTGCTTGGTCCTGAATACTCTGCTACTGTTAACACAGCCTAAGGGGTCACTTCTCACTCTTTCTTTGTGTATGTAT